ACGCAGTTGAATTAATTAATTTATGACAGTTTATTGAAGCACCAATTTACAATAGTCAACAATGATCTCCTGTACGAGAGGGTGATTGCTTCATGAAGGTGCTATTGCTGCCAGAGTCTCGTTTGGTGAAGATTACTCTGCACCACAATTATTGGCACTGAGAACGAGATCAGCTTGGAATAACTTTAATCACAATAAATGTTTTCGGCCATTTACACGCCTGTAAACTGATCGGAAATAAAGATTGCAAGACTCAAAATACATGCATACATTGTAATTTACTATGTGGAGAATACTCATTTTATCTGCAAAATAGACCGTAACAAATTGTGCAACAAATGAACTTGCCAAGACAGACTATAAAAATTTTATTTTTCTATATAATATTCTTAATCGCAAAAAAGCCAAATCTGGCAATTTTGCTCAGAACTAACTGAAGCGTCACTTGTAATCGTCCAATGTGCCACGTTTTGGCCACCCCTGTTCTAGTACCATCGACTTCCCGATTCAATGCATATGTCATTTATCATTCAGCAGATCCAGATTGTTAAGTAACAGCTACCAATTTGATCAGTTACAACCAGTGACGTAGCGTAGTGGAGGCAGCAAAATTTCACAATAAATAATAATAATATCTTGTAAAAATTTGAACCATTTGATTTCATATTTTTGTCGCACCTACAATTTAGACCGATTGAAATGAGCACGGAATAGTGTTACCATCCGGACAGTCCGGGAGAACTATTAATTTCAACCTGTCGACCTTTTTTTCTTTTTTTGCTCGCACGATTCATTCTTATTCATATTCACCTCTAATATCCAATAGACCTAAGTCATCTAGGTTACTTACGTTACTCCTAACCAAGTCTCCCTAGTCCCTAACTGTAACTGATTTAGAACCGGCATGCACTGCACATTATTCTTTGCATTGCAAAATGATATACGCATGCGTCAAGGAACTTCTGTTCAAACAAACCTCACCTACCGTCCAGGTCGGCAATTTTAAAAAGGCGGCAACACTAGCACGGAATTTCTCATTATTTATTCTGTGACGAAACTAAACTTTAGTCTTTTAAATTGAGATACCTAAATAAGGAGACGGTGAAATTTTCCTTTGCCCCGGGCGGCTGACACCCATGCTACGCCACTGGTTACAACTGTCGTGTCTGCCAAACACAGCCAATCATTTGATTACCGTTGCAATTTAGGACCATAATGTAAACTTCTGACAATTAGTGAAGACATTTACCGTTTACCTTTTTGTATAGCTACCCACAGTGAGCTGCCATATACTGATTTCTGTAATCTACAATTATGAACATATGTTTGTTTCACTTATTACCTTATTTAGATTTTGCAATTTGAATTGTTAGGACCATCTGCTTCAGGAAGTTACGTAAATGAATTCATTTATATTTAAAGGAATGCGTTTATTCGTGTGCCACGTGCTTTCCCCTTCATAATTACTCGTTTATAAGAAATTAAATTCTATCCAGACTTACCATTCGATATCTGGCAATTTCAGTAATTTTTTATGAAGTCGTTTCTTATTAACATTATAATTGTACTTTTTCCTGCGACGTCGCGAAACACCACGTGCTTTCCCCATCTTTACTTACGACCACAACGTACCAAACCGTCGATTCTACTCCGGCGCCATCTCATTTTTTCCACGCATAAAAATAATTAAATTAATTTTTTTGAAATTTACAGCCAATATTATTATGTTGTATTATAACTTGATTTCGACATTTGTAATCATATTTAAAAATTCTACAAATTATTAATATTTACACTATCGAAATTAAATTCGTCTAAAGCTGTTTTCTTTTTATGAACTCTTTTGCCCTGTGGACACTAAAAAAGCCTTTCTTACAAAGCCAATTATTGGCTCGACCAAGTCACAATGGGTCAACCTGGGGGTAAGAAATGGGGTCCGACATATCCGAACGGATCACTCTCCGAAAATTTCCTGGGGCTTTTCTATCCACTCGGATTCGTTTCAGTAAAAGTCTCGAATTCCAATTCGCCAAGACTTTTTCGTCCCGGATGTGTCGGGCCAGTTCCTCACCACCAGGGCCGGATTAACCCACTTTGGGGCCCTAGACATTTTCTTCTTACGGGCCCCCCTTTCTCACACTAGAAATAGAGCACACAAAAAATATAAAACAATAAATAAAACAAAACTAAATAATGTGATAAACTAAAATAAATCTTAAATTTTTATTAATAAAAAATATTTAATACACAACAATAAATTTTAGTTTTTCTAGAAACGTTTGAACAGTTTGTTTATAAATTTAAAATATTGAAATTTGTTTTATTAAATGTCTAACAAAAGTTGTTGTAAAATAACAATATTACCTTAAAAAAAATAATTGTCAACAAGACTATGTCTTGTTTATAAAATCGTACTGCTTGCTGTGTTACCAGCTTAGAGGTATGAAGGAGTACATGTCAGGAGTTGCAATTTGGCACAGAGTATTAAGTGCCCAAATCATGCGCGCATAAAAAA